CGCGGGACTTCGCCTCTGAGTCAACTAATCGAATGGCGAATTTGGAGAAATCTCAGGAATAAAATAAGACTGAAATTGAAGGAAATAATTGAGATATCGCCTCTTGGGAGGAACAGATAAAAGCCCTCCAAATCAAAATCTCAAAATCCAAGAAACAAAATACTAAGCTTCTAAAATTCGATAATTCAAAGATCACTGAGGGCTTGATATTTGGCTGAAGTATGTTGACAAAGCCCAAAAATTGGAAAGCGAGCTAGAGGAGTTGAGGTCGACAAAATCTATCTATGACAAGCGGTTAGAGCTTTTAAAGGCGAAGTACCTCAAGATGAAGGCCAGTCTTTCCTTTTAGTCTTGATCCCCTTTCTTTTTTACTTACCATGACTCTGGATTTATTTATATAATAATTTTGAGCCTCTTATGGTTCATTTGTTGTAACAGATTTTAGCCATTTTGGAAAGCTTTTATTTACCATGTTAGCTTATATTATTTCATGTATGATCACTCTTTCGCTATCTTTATCTCTTGGAGCGCAGGCTTGTATTTCTTCAAATACTTTCCACTCACTCTCAATATCCTCTTATCTTTGCTTCTCTTCAATCTCATATGCACCATTAGAGAATACTTGAATAATTTGAAAATGACCTTCTCACTTAGAAGACCACTTTCCTAGAGACCTATCTTTTCGATCCATAGGAAGGGTTACTTTCCAAACCAAATCTTCAGGAAACAAAGTTTTAACTTTAACTTTCTTGTTATAAGATTTTTCTACTATCTCTTTTTGTCTTTTTAATAATTCCAAAGCATTGAGTCTCTCTTCGTCTAAATCAACTAATTCGTCCAACATCATATTCCAATATGTTGCTGATGGAATTTTGTGATGTCTTTGAATTCTTATCGATTATAAATATACTTCCATCGGTAAGACCGCATCGTGACTAAATGTCAATCGAAATGGAGTCGTATTAGTGGCCTCCTTAGAAGATGTTTGACATGCCCAAAGGACCTGGTCTAAAGTCTTATGCCAGTTCCTAGGCTTCTTCCCCACGTGTTTCTTAATTAAACTAATAACCACCTTATTTGCTGCCTCGACTTGGTCATTATCTTGGGCATAATAGGGTGGAAATGTTATTAGTTTGAAACCCATTTCTTTAGCAAATTCTTGCATCTTTCGACCAGTGAACACCAATCCTTGGTCTGTTGTAATAGTTTCTGGAATTCCAAACTTGTAAATGTTGTATTTCTTGATGAGTTCGATCACATACTCTTGGTCCACAATCACCAATGGTAAAACTTCAATCCATTTTGTAAAATAGTCAAGTTTAAAGGCCTTACATCAGCATGTGTTAAGTGATCCAACAAATTGCGGTATTGAATGATACAATGTCTAAGACATCTATTGTAACTCATACCCTTAGCTGACCATCTAAACAACAAGAAGTTCAAATTTAATTAGTTAGGCATAATAATTGGTAATATGGAATAAACTAATATTAAGTTATTAATTTACTTTTGTGCATACGGGAAGGAAAAACTGTTGTGGTTGACGGGCGCTAGGGATGGCAATCTAGACCAACCCATGCTTGGAGCAAAACGACGCATCCAAAAAAAAATAGATGTGTTTTTTTTGGTGCACTTACATAAAGAGCTATACAAATATGACAGACAAGTGGAACCCCAACTATACTCTCTTGTTTTATCTAGGTTTCTCAATAATGATAAATACATAATGTGCATAGAAGAACCAGTGCCTTTGAAAAATAAAAATAAACCAATTAAAAGCATAAGACAAGACCTAGTTTTTATTATTTTCATTTCTTCTGTAGAATCTTCATCTAATATAAAACTAGTGTACCATGATTTTTGGCGCGAAAGTAAGATACCTTGGCCTCTTGAGTTCTCATCTAGCAAGTCGGCACCCAAAAGTTCATCACAAATTAAACCATCAAGATTTGTTGGTTCATTGACCGCCTTACCATCAATACACAAATCGAGTAACATGTACACATCCTCAAAGGTCACGATACATTCACCGGTTGGAAAAAAGAAGGTGTATGTCTATGGGAACCATCTCTCTTGCAAAGGTAGTATAAACTTTGCATCAACCGAGTAAGACATGATTTTTCTTACATGTACGTGAGCTCAATATATGGTGGGATTAATTTGTGGGTGCAACATATTCATGGGAACAAGGATGAAACTTAGAAACTTCCTACACAATTGTCAATATAAGAAAAATTTAACAGAGACATTAAAAATTAGCACTTGCATAACTCTCGATATTTATGATAGTGCCTTTGTGCGTTTCACCCATTGTCAACAAAGCTATTATAATTAATTAAATGTGAACTGTTACTACTGACACATTAGACTTTATATTGTTTCTCTACAACAATTATGAATCAGATGATGTATGACTCCATACCTCTAGCACATGTTGCTCCACAAGCGAATCTTTGTTTGATTTCAGACAGGCATGCTGCTGTAGAGAGTGCTTACAATAACCATAATAACGGGTGACATAATCCTCTTTCTACTCATGTATATTGCATTAGACATATTGCACAAAACTTCATGCGTGCAATCAAAGACAAGAACCTTTGCAAAGAAGTTGTGAATGTCGGGTATGCTCTAACTCAACCAACATTTCAATACTACCTTACCGAAATTAGGATCTCAAATGCAGATGTAGGAAGCTGGTTGGATAACATTCTAGTGGAGAAGTGGATAAGGGCTTTTGACGATGGATGTCATTGGGGCCACATGACGACAAACCTTGTGGAGTCCATGAACGGGGTATTCAAAGGAATTAGAAACCTTACAATTACCACTTTAGTGAGATCAACCTATTATAGGTTGGCATCACTTTTCACAACAAGAGGCGAAAAATGGAGAGCATTGTTAATGTCGGGTCAAATATTCAATGAAAGCATAATGAAAATGATGAAAGAGGATACTATCAAAGCTAACACGCATGCAGTTACAATGTTTGACCGCCATAGGCAAACATTCAGTGTACAAGAAACAATGGACCATAATGAGGGGAGGCCTAATTTATCCTATGCTGTCAGACTAAACAGATGTTGGTGTGACTGTGACAAGTACCAGACCTTCTGTGTACCTTGCTCACATGTCATTGCGGCATACACACATGCTTGTCAGGATGCATATAACCATCTATTTAATGTTTACAAGGCGATTAATGTTATAAATGTCTACAACGAAGGCTTCACAGTGCTACCAATGGAGGAATATTGGCCTCCATACTAAGGTGACATAGTTCAGCACAACGATGAGATTTGAAGAAAGAAAAAGGGACGCCTAAACAACAAGCATATAAGAACCAAAATTGATACAACTGATAAAATGATAAGATTATGCAGTATATGTCGTCAGCCCGGACACAACCGAAAAAATTGCCCCAATGTCGAAGCAACATCTGCATCATGATTTAGCTTACCGTTTCAGTTGTTGTAACTTAATATTTTCATATATTAATAAGTCTTTGTTACAACAATGTTAATAACAAACAACACATACCACAAACTAAACAACACACACCACACACGACACATAAAACAACTAACGAAAAAGAAACATAAAACATTCTTAACTGATTAGGACAATCAAACTAATTTCATTCGGTTTAAACATGACTTCCCTCACATCCTTGTCACCCTTAACACGAACCCATCCACGCATGCGATCAAGTCTCTCGATACTTCAAATTTTCCCCCTTCACCAATGTCTCCTTCTAACCACCGACTCAACTCCCTCTTAAGTTGATTGAAACTTCGTATGTTCCAAAACAACATGTCCATCAGAGGCTTCTCTCTCGAATAGACGATTTTTTCCTATCAGCGACGATACATGTTATCAGTGGAACAAAGATATGAGATGAGTTGTGGAACTAAATGATCAGAACACCTCTATTTATAAAAAAATCAGTTTCTATATTGTCCCCAGATGAATTGGCGACTCCCCTTTGTGTATTACACCATGTCGCCAATTGAATTGAAGACTTCACAAGGTTTCTCTAATACAATTGATGACTCCACTCATACCCTAACAAAGGGCCGCCAATTGGTATGACGCCTACATGCATTCAGAAACCCTAATTGAAGTGGTTTGGTAAATATTTTAAAAAGTAAAACATTTTAAGATTTTTTTTTAAAAATAAATTATTTAGGTAAAAAATTCTAAATAATCTAGTTAAGAGTTAAATTATAAAAAATATTATAATATATTAAAAATCAAATTTAAAATGAATAATAAATTAAGAATTTAATCAGTATAAATGTAAAACAAAATTACACGTACAATCAATTAAAATATTTATACTTTTCTTATTATATCATTATTTTAAATTAAAAATATAATTTAAAAAAAAAAACACGCTGTGTATTTCATTTTTCTTATAAATAAAATAAAATAAATTGAATCAATTTATAAAAAATTAACTCACATATCAAAAAGTCATGAATTCAACTCTCGAACAATACAAAGATCGTAAGATCTTTTATAAATGTTGTTTAAATTTTGAAGGCTTGATCCGGAAAACTTCTAGAGCCCAACTCTTGTAAACTCTTTCTTAAAATAAAAAAACAAAAATAAACTACGGTAAGTATTCCCTATACGCTCGCGCTCTCTCGACGACCTGAAGCTGACAGTTGGGAGTGTTATAAGTTATAAGTGCATGCTGGATTTCTATTTCTCACTAACAAACTCTCTAACCTAAGCCGCGCCACACTCCATCCTTCTCCCTTCACGGTTCGTTCTACCTTCCATCACACGATATCACGTTGCATATTCCATCGCTACGTTTTCACAACACTATCCACATTCATAATTCACTTTACTTTCTCTATAATCTTAGGGTTTCGATTTCGTCCATATAATTATGGCTGTTTCCAAATTTTATTGATGAATGATTGAATTGAAAAAAATTCTTATGCAGGTGAAGTTGTTGTTTGTGTGGTTTCGAGCATTTCATTTGATAAGAGATGTCTTTGCAAGGTCAACTAGATAGGTTCAAGAAACAGCAAGAGAAGTGTCAATCGACGCTTTCCAGCATTGCTGCGAGTCAGGTTGGTGGTAGAAAACCTAGTAATCCAGTAGTTGCACATGCGTCGATCAATGGGAGAAATTCGACTACGGGTATCAAATTCTCCAAAGATACTGAGAGGCTTCAGCAGATTAATACTATACGGAAAGCCCCTGTTGGTGCTCAGATGAAGCGTGTTATTGATATGTTGTTTGAGGTAATTTTTGGTTTTTTCATTCAGTTCGATTGCAAGGTTTATTTATTTTTTTGATATGTTATTAGTTAGTGGTGGTGCTAGTGTAGTGATTGAGATGCAAAAGATGAAGGGAAAAGAAGTGAGTTCTATTAGAATACCTACACACTCATTTTACATATCATGTAAATTGAAACCAAAAGGGAACCTACAGTCAGTTGGGACATCGACTGACACTTTATGTTTGGGTGGGTGGTGAAGCTTCAAAGTGTAATTTTTTTCAAAATCGTGACGCTCATTGTTCTTTCGAATTCACATATAATGCAAACCAACGTTATTGTTATCGAATATTGGTCATGCAAGATATCAATGGCAGTTTTTGGGCTCGCCGCAATGGTAAATATTGACCCATATTGTTGGTTTTTCCGCCATACTATGTTATGACGACGCCACAATGCAGCTAGTTTGGCGGGATTTTGGCTCATTGCCGTGGGGCCAGTTTGTAAATAAATGCCATATAAGGTCAATTTGTTAAAATCCCAATCTTGTCATAAGTTCATCTGCGTATCATTTGGGTAGAATAGTTTGGTACTTATTTTCGAAATTGCATTCCGGAAACATTGAGTAAGTCATAACAATTTACGCGATGCATAGTCATGCTTTACTTTCAGGCATCTTCAAGATATTTTGGGGTTTGACGAGTGTTATGTTGGTTCTCTTTAACTTTGTTGGAGTTTTCTCTTTGAAAAGCGCTACTTAAGATAACTTACCAATGAAAGTCCATAATTAGTCATTGATTTGTCAAAACCATATTGATTTGGTGCTTTTGTGTTCTGACAGACGCGGAAGGCGTATACTCCAGAGCAAATAAATGAAGCATGCTATGTTGACATGAGGGCTAACAAAGATGTTTTTGACAATCTGAGGAAAAACCCAAAAGTACACTATGACGGACAACGATTCTCTTACAAGGTAATTTTTACAGGTGCATATATATCTAAACAATTTTATATTTAATCATATCCCTTTTGCAAATAACTTCTTCATCTGTTGGTTGTATTTTGTCTTTAGGCAAAGTATGGCCTTAAGGATAAAACTGAGCTTCTTCAACTGGTACGTAAGTATCCAGAGGGCATTGCTGTTATTGACCTAAAGGATGCTTACCCCTCTGTGATGGAAGACTTACAGGTAGAAATGACTTCTGTTAGTGCTGTTTCCTTTTCTTTGAAGGACATTTCTTGACACTGTTTTTCCAGGAGCAAGTCACTTTAAAAAGTAAATGGAGTATATCATTTGTTGATTAAAAAATCAGTGGTTGATATTATGTGCACATCAAATCATGAGTGGATACAATATCAACCTTTGATTTTCTCACTATACTAATTACTCACTCTAGAGAGCTAAATCTTTATATGCACAATGTATTTTGGGAGAATTATGAACCAAAATACATACCTTTGGAGGAAGATCGAGTGTTATTATACCATTGCACATTATTGGGTTTTATAAAATCATTTTTACACTTTCTTCTAACCCTCGGCATTATTATAGTTTATGGTAAGTACCTAGGAAATGAAAGCATCTTTTAAGTTGTCATTATAAAATCTTGCTCATTAAGATGCAGGGTGAGATGTGGTTCAACCTTTCCCGCTACCTTCCTCTTCGTTCACTCCCCATACATTTGTTTTGTCATTTAAGTTTTCAAAGACCATTATTCTCATCAACATGTGAACGATAATACTGATACATTAATGAAAGAGTGTTTTTTTAAAATGTTTTTCTTGAAATATGTAAATAAGGATGAAACTATTTGATGAAGTTAAGAGTCAAAATCAAGTAAATATTTGGCTTCTCATGGAATAGGACCTCATAAAGATATTGGTTTATAGGCTTTGAAAGCTGCAGGGCAAATCTGGCTACTTGCCAACTTTGATTCACATGAAGACGTTGCATACCCGAATGACCCCAAAGCAATCATTAAGGTGGATGACGACCTAAAACAGCTATTCCGGAGTATTGAGTTGCCCCATGATATGATTGACATAGAGAAGGATCTTCAAAAGAATGGAATGAAGCCTGCTACCAACACTGCAAAGAGGAGGAGTGCAGCACAAATTGATGGCATTTCTTCCAAGCCAAAGCCTAAGAAGAAGAAGAAGAGTGAAATCACCAAAAGAACCAAGCTGACCAATTCCCATCTTCCGGAGCTTTTTAAGAATCTAAACAATTCCTGATCAAATCTCTGCAAGTCTGCAAGTGCTGCATTAGGTCAAGTAGATAATTTGTTAGCCTAAGTTAGATCAGCAGGTTGAAAAATATTCAGAAGTTCTTATTGCTCTCTGCCCTACTCTAGATATTGTTTTTAATTTTTGTACATCAAGGCTGTAGCTTATGGACTGGTTTGATATATAAGAACGATTCTAGAAATAAATTGTGATTCTGTGTATTTTAAAAAGCATTGTTTAATATTTTATTTTTAGGTCTTACTAAAGTATCTCTCTCACTCATACAGAAGTTAACTTATTTAGCCCCAGTAAAGACACTGCTGGGCATATAGTAATAATAGCATCGAATAGAATAACAATCTAAAATAAAATGGTGAGTAATTTTCGCCTGAAAAATTGATGGTTCATACTTTAACATAACATGATCATGTAAAAAACTTTAGGTTAGGGAAAAATGAAAGTAAAATTTGGAGGATGAAAGTTGATATGTGTGGCACACAATGATACAAATGTAAGATAAGCCATTGATTCACGCGTGGCATTTAAATTTAAAAAAACGAAAGGTGTTGTTTATTCCAATCCTGGTCCACCCATTTTTCTTGTTTATGTGAAGAAGAATCTTAATATCTTTCACTTTATTGGGGAAGCAAAAAAAGCAGTGAAAATTGAAGACACCAAGAATAATGGGTTTTGCAATGCAATGCTCAAGCTATGCCTATTCTTGTTGTGTCCCTCATCGGTTCACCCCAACCGCCCTATCTTTTCCAGCTTGCAAATGGAACGGATTCAAGACCCAACCAAAGAATCAGATTGCTGTATTCTGTGGTGCCGAGGATCGAAGCTCCAACTTTGATTCTCACAGGAAAAGGTGTTCATCAATTTATAATTTAGCTTCAAATTCTCTGTATTTACTGTGATTAGGAATATGATTTAGTGTTTTAATTTTGTGCAGAAGAAAAGTTGTGGAGCACATTTGTCTGCTAAAAGCAAAAGAGGCTTTGTCCGAAGAAGAAGAGAAGGACATGCTTGATTATTTGTATACAACCCAGTATCAAATGGGTGGTATTATTGCAATTTCATTAGGTAAATTGTAGCTTAGTTTGATATGATTAGTGAAGGAGCGCTTTTTCGTATAATGATGACCTTGTTGATCCCGCAGGGCGCGTTTCTGATCAGAATCCTGACCGGTATACTCATGCTCTGTACATGCGGTTTCAGAAGAAGGAAAACCTTGAAAAGTTCTATGAGAATTCCTTTTACTCGAAGGTTCTCAAGGACCACGTAATGACTTACTGCCATGTATGCACCAACATGTAAACACCGATTCTCTGTTCCTTTGTTTTTCTGATACTCTCAAGTCAACTTTGCTATGGATGTTTTAACTTGGTCCCTAACTGGTTTTGTTTAGGGATTAATTAATGTGGATTATGAATCTGAAGTCGATGATGATATGCTTTCTATATTTCGCAAAGGAGAGGTTGGTACTAGTTTAAGTTTCCTCTTCTGGATCTATAAATTGAAGGGTTCATCATTATTGCCCAATTTATAGTTGATTGGTACTAATCAAATGAATTTTGTGGCCAGGAGTTTAGCCATGGAGTGGAGTTTGTTCTTTTGTTATCATTTAATGAGGATGCCTTAGATAACAAGGTGGAACATGCATTGGCGTCTTTGGCAACCGTGATGTTGGAATCTCCTTCCTTGATAGTACAATTTACGCAAGGTATGCTTTTAGTTCCACCAACATTTTTTCAAATGTTAGTGGAAAATAGACTTAGGTGGTTTAGACATGTAGAGAGAAGATCTGCAGATTCTGTGGTAAGGAGAGTAGATTAGATGGTGAGAAATCAAACAGTTAGAGATAGAAGAAGACATAGAAAAATTATAAGAGAAGTTAATAAGAAAATTTTCGAGATTAACGATTTGGATAGAATCATGGTCCTAGATCGAACATTATAGTGAAAGTTGATCTAGGTAGCCGACTCCACTTAGGGGGATAATGCTCGATTGTTGTTGTAGTTTGTTGGCTCATCAACAGTTCATACTTTTTTTACCAAAGGATTCTATGAATAAAATCCTTTCTACTAAGTTTTGATTTCTATAGGGGTTATTAATATTTAATTGTCAGGTTTGAATTTCAATGAAAGCTCTAAGGAGTATACTCATGGAGTAGTGATCCGATTTCGATCAGGTGATCTCAATCTCATGGTTTGTTATGTCTGTTTTTTTTCTTTCTTTTTCTCACTTTAGTTGTATTAACCCGTTCTTGTGCATGATGGCATCTTCTGCAGTTGAGGCATTCAAGATATTTCTACGCAGTCAAGAATACAAAGATGTAAGAAATCTAATTTTTTTGTTTCTTGAACATTATTTTATGCTTAGATTGTTGTTTGTTACCCATAGTGTGACTATATCTTGAGAACAAGCACAACAAGAATATAAACTAAACTATATTTGGATTTGGTAAATAGGTATGGATTTCGAAGTTGCAGCCTATAGTCCTGAAATCACTGTCTCTTCATTTCTCTGTCGATCCAGTGGGAACTGAGCTTATGTAGCGAGGATAATTTATGTAAGTTTTTACTCGTAACTTTCTGCCGTACGCTTTATGTACCTAACATATTTCTCATACATGAAATAAGACTTGGTTTCTTCTTCTTTTCTAGGAACAAGGATGAAGGTTATTTCATGCCTTCGATTTCCACTCGCATGTTTTTTTGCTTTGAACTATGACTACTGTTGACGCCAACATTCTGAAACACGGTTGCGAAAACCTTTTCTATATATTTGGCAATTTAGAAAAACATCTATGCATTAATACATCATATCTTTCGATTGTATCAAGTATAGTTTCCTAGTATCTTTATCCTCTAAAACTATATCTATTCTACACCTTTTCTAGGAAACTAAACTAACTTCATACACAAAGCCGTTGATTGCGAGATAGTTGATCAGTTATGAAGGGGGTTTGGACCTCCGGGAACATCATGTAGAGAAACTCCATAAATCGTGTGAACCTCTTCAGTGTCGGGTACCTGTTGTGTCTTTGTATAGAAATGCAATGAACCTGAGAACTGACGAAAAAAGTTTCTCTTTTTCGTTTGCTTGATTCCCTTACTCGTCCATCTTGTGGCGTCGCTGCAACTTGAGAGTTGGCTAGTCAACAGTATGATGATCATTAAGATCAGAAGAAAGGAGGAGAGTCTTGAATATCGAACCGCCATGTTATCTAGTGAGAGACTGAAAAATTCCAAATAAGACAGTAGGAAAAGGAGAAGGGGTTGAATTTAGTTTGTTGCCTTATGCAGGTTGGTCTGTCACACTTTAATATGAGGTCAGAGAAGCTGTAGCAATGATAGAGGCAAAACTAACTTAATTTTAACGAAATGGCGAAAATGCCCATTTTGATCATAGGTAGATTTGCAGCCAGATCATTGATTAAACTAGAGGATCAAATCAGTTTTGGAATTTCAGTCAAATGATTCAAATAGTTTGGAGAAGGAGATACTGCCGAATTAAGCCGAGTTTTTCAATAATACTGTCTTCCAAGTAGGTGTGGAGTGCTAACTTAAAACACTCCTTACAAAAAGATGAGAATGTTGACTTTAGAGTATAGTTTAAGTAATAATATAAATTTAAATCATTCATAAAATCATTAATAGTTGGTATATGAATGTGTTGAAATATCAACATTTTTTTCTCCTGGCTCCCCACTGACTTAAGAGAGTCAAATCTGGATGGTTGATAAAGATATGGGATAATAATTGCTGTGATTTGGGAGAGATTTCATAGAGGAATTGATCTGTTAATGATAAATATCATAACTATGTGTATATGCTTTCTTTATAGATTCTACTCTTGATACAAATGAACAAAGGACTAATCAAATTTATGAATGTTTATGAAAATGGATCCAAATGGTTGAATCACACTGGTTCATGTTGAGTCAGATGTTGATTTTCCTAGTGTGCATCTTCTAGTTTTTTTTAAAGGATTTCTTCTATTGAACCATATTTTAGAGATGTTTTTATGATCTTATTTTTTCAGAAATATGTTTCTGAATTTTATGAGGTAAAGTATAAAATTTAACTATAGAAAATAAATAACACAATGATAAATAAATAACACAAGAATGTATACTAATTCTACTTTTTAATTAAGATACCTCTAGTCCTCTCACACTCTGTGAGATTTTCATTATTGTTATATCTTTTTTACAACTCTCACATTAAGACTTCTTTTACAATCTTCTAACAACAATAAATTAGTATATTACCTCTTTGATTTTACAAAAACACCAAAAACTATGGTGTACTTTGAATCACCCGGATTCAAAGGATCTTTTATAATAATCACCAACACTATAATGATTATCACATAGACAACAAAACACAACTTTCTATTTACAATCCTTAGAAAATACACTATTTTTTTATTTACAAATAATTGTCACCACACACTTGATGATCAAGTTACAACAAAATGATCCTTTGGAATAAAAGAAAATTTTTAGACAATTTCCAAGAATAAATAATTCTTCTTCCTTTTCAATATACAATTAATATATATAAATCTTAAGTGTTTAGAATATATTATAAATTTTTTTGAATGATTTTAAAATTATGCACAAAGTTTCAACATTTTTAAAAATGAATGAACACTTAGAAAATTACTTTGAATTGTATTAAATTTTATATGAAAAATGTTATTTGGAACTATGATGTATTTAAATACATCCTAAGAAACCTATATAAATTGATGTAAAAGTTTGAGATATTTTTACGATAGTTTGCAATAGTTCATGAAGAAATACTAGTTTGAGATATTTTTACGATAGTTTGCAATAGTTCATGAAAAAACACTATTTTGCATAGGTTAAATTTAACAAACACTTTTTAAATTTCAAATAGGTTTTCAAATTTTAAATAATATAAATTTTATTAAATTAGTTAATCATATCTGACTTAAAAATGCAACAGACCTTTTTTAAAAATTTCAAATATTTAAAATTTTCAAATAATATAAATTTTTCATGACAATATATTCAAAATAATTTATGTATGATAATTTGAGAATTTTAAAGATGAAGATGAGTATTATTTTTTAAGTATTTAAAATTTATACATAATGAATCGTAATAATTACGCATTAAGATCATTTTTTTTTTAATTTTTAAAATATCTATAAGTTTGTGCATTCTTGATTCTTATATTTAAACTTTTTTTTTTATATATTTATCTTTTAAGAAATTTTTGGTTTTATAAAAGTTAAATTAAGATAGATGATGAATATTTTTTTTATATTTTAATATATAAATTAATTTATTAAACAAAAGATAAAACTATATTAAATTATATTTGTATAAATTATAAGTTATTTCTATAAACTATTTTTTATAGGTCATATAAAAATAGTTTATGAGGGTATACATTGTTTTCATGTTGTTTTCTTCTAAATAGTAAAAAGGATTGGATTGATTGAGATACAATGAAATAGTAAAAAGGATTGGATTGATTGAGATACAATGACTAAAAATATATTAAATGGTTTGTATTTAGACCAAAAATATTCCTTGCGTTTAAAGAAACACTAACAATATTCGTATGAGTATAGTTGGAAAAATTATTGCATCATAGTTTTCCATTCAATTATGAGTATAGTTGGAAAAGAAAGTTCATAAAATTTGATATTAAGATTATAATAGTTTTGAAACATAAGAAGAATTATAACATAGATAGGGATCCTTTCTATAAGAAATCATTCACGTGAAGTTGGTTGGATAAAGTCAGCTCTAAAAAATGATGTTGTTCTTAATCAGTCATCTCGATATGAATGGTGTTTGTAAGTGTTAAATATAATTCATTGTGATTTGATATGATTAGATTTGATATCATATGATTAATTTGATATGATATGATTAGATATCATATGATTAGATTTGATATCATATGATTAGATTTGATTTAGAATATTTTGGGCCTTTTATGTTTTGGGGTAGTGTAAACCTAAAACTATAAATAGGGTGTCTTGCTTTGTATTCTACATCACAATAGAACAGATTTCACAGTTGCAGTTAGCAAGTGAAAGTTCAATAAGAAATCTCACAGTTGTGGGTAACACATTCTCTCCAAATACTTCTTCTCTCATTCTTCTCTTTCTTATTTGTTATTCTTTTTCTCTTTTGTTATTCTTAATAATTACTTGTTATTACCATCATTATCATATAGTGGGTTTGTTCATCAATCTTGAGATCAAGATTGAAGGGAATTCTTCATAGGGTGTGAGATGAATTTCCAACATCTGGTATCAGAGCTCCGGTTAAGAGATTCAAGGAAGGAAGATAGTGATGGCGATGAACTATCCAAACGGCAACTTTCCGGCGACCCTGCCAATTCTCAAGAAAGACAATTATGAGAATTGGTGCAAGCAGGTTAAGGTAATCTTCTGTTATCAAGATCTTTGGGATCTTGTGAAGGACGGAGTAACATCGCTGGTGGAGAACGCAACGGAGGCGGAAAAGGCTGCGCACAAAGAATTGAAGAAGAAGGATTATAAAACACTCTTTATAATTCATCAGTGTGTTGATCCTGATAACTTTGAAAAGGTTAGTGATGTTGATTCAGTAAAAGAAGCATGAGAGATTCTTGAAAAGTCGTTTGGAGGCGCAGAGAAGGTGAAAGAGGTGAGGTTACAAACTCACAAGAGAACCTATGAGTTGCTTCAGATGGAAGACAACGAAAGCATTACAAATTTCTTCACCAGAGTTACAAGGTTAGTGAATCAAATCAAAGAATGTGGAGAAACGCTGACGACGAAAGCAGTTGTCTCAAAGATTTTGAGATCGTTGGCTCCAAAATTCGACCACGTGGTAGTTTCCATAGAAGAGTCGAAAGATCTGTCAGTGTTGACGAAGGAAGAGCTTCAAGGGACTCTTGAGTCTCATGAACAGAGGATGGCTGAGAGAGCTGCAGGAAAGTCGAAAGATATGGCTTTGCAGGCACAGACGGAAAAGGAGAGAAAAGGCAAAGGTAGCTGGAACCAAGGAGGAAACCAGTCGAATCAAAAGAAACCTTGGAACCAAGGCAACCAAAGAGGTGGTGCTGCAGGTAAAGGAAGAGGTGGTGATCGAAAGACAGACAAAAGCCACATTCAATGTTTCAATTGCCAGAAGTATGGTCATTATGTTAGTGATTGTCCAGAAAAGAAGAGAAATCAAGAGACTGATGCAAAGCTGGCGAAACATGAAGAAGAAGAAACGTTGCTAATGGTCACAACAAACGATGAAGAAAGATTCCAAGATCAGTGGTACTTGGACTCAGGATGCTCATCACACATGACTGGAAGGAAAGATTGGTTTGTCAACATGAAGCCCTCGTCGAAGAATACGGTGAAGTTTGCAAATGACAACACTCTAGCAGCTGAAGGTGTTGGTGATGTTCTGATTATGAGGAAAGATGGCAAAAGGTCAACAATTTCCAATGTGTTGTACATACCAGGCATGAAGAGTAATTTGCTCAGTATAGGGAAGCTTGTCGAAAAGAACTACAAGGTAGTTGTC